ATGCCAGAAGATATGGCAGAAGATATGCCAGATAGAATGCCAAATAGAATGTCAGAAGATATGTCAGATAGAATGCCAGAAGATGTGCCAGTAAGAACATGTATAAATGTCATGGTGGGGATCACACGAAGTAAAGTAATTTTGAAACTTCCGCCACCGCCTTGTGCGGTACTACTGGTAGAAGTAGTAGGAGTAGTAGGAGTAGGAGGAGTAGTAGGAGTAGTAGGAGGGAGCAGGTAGTAGGTAGTAGGTAGTAGGTAGTAGGTAGCAGGTAGTAGGTAGTAGGTAGCAGGTAGGTAGGAGGTAGGAGGTAGCAGGTAGTAGGAAGTAGGAGTTAGGAAGTAGGAAGTAGGAAGTGGTAAGTGGTAGGTGGTAAGTGGTTAGTGGTTAGTGGTAAGAGGGTAGTGGTAAGTGGCAAGTGGAAAGTGGTTAGTGTTTAGTGGTTAGTGGTTAGTGTTTAGTGTTTAGTGGTGCGTGGTGGCGGTGGCGGTGGCGATAGCGGTAGTGGTAGTGGTAGTAGAGTAGTAGTAGTAGTAGTAGTAGTAGTAGTACTAGTAGTACTAGTAGTAGTGGTAGTAGTGGTAGTAGTGGTAGTAGTGTAGTAGTAGTAGTAGTAGTAGTAGTTAAACAGTTAGTAGGTAGTAGGTAGGTGGGTAGGTAGGTAGGTGGGTGGGTGGGTAGGTAGGTAGGTAGGTAGGTGGTGGTAGGTGTTAGGCAGGCAGTAGTAGGCAGTAGTAGGTGGTAGTAGGTGGTAGTAGGTGGTAGTAGGTAGGTGGTAGTAGGTGGTAGTAGGTAGGTAGGTGGTAGTAGGTGGTAGTAGGTGGTAGTAGGTGGTAGTAGGTGGTAGTAGGTGGTAGTAGGTGGTAGTAGGTGGTAGTAGGTGGTAGTAGGTGGTAGTAGGTGGTAGTAGGTGGTAGTAGGTGGTAGTAGGTGGTAGTAGGTGGTAGTAGGTAGTAGTAGGTAGTAGTAGGTAGTAGGTAGTGGTAGGTAGTGTTGGTAGTGTTGGTAGTGTTGGTAGTAGTGGTAGTGGCACGGGGGTCGCATTTGCCCCTACCTCATGTGGGGTTGCACTTGCCCCTACTCGAGGTGGAGGTAGGGGCGAACGTGGCCCTAGGGTAGGGGCGAATGTGACCCGACCGCGTTTTGCGTGGCGGGCGCAATAGTTTCAGAGTCTCGAAAGGATCTTTTTCCAGCTGTGACAGTCAGCTACGACGTCTTTTTCAAGTGTTACGTAGTAACATCCATTTCAAGTAACTCCCAAAGCGTTGTGGATGCCACGTTGTAACATCCATTTCAATCAACTTCCAAGACGCTCTGGATGCTACGTTGTAACATCCATTTCAAGCAACTTCCAAGACGCCCTGGATGCTACGTTGCAACATCCATTTGAAGTCCCTTCCAAGACGCTCTGGATGCTACGTTGTAACATCCACTTGAAGTCACTTCCAAGACGCCCTGGATGCTACGTTGCAACATCGACTTGAAGTCCCTTCCAAGACGCTCTGGATGCTCTGTTGTAACATCCATTTCAATTTTTCAATCAACTTCCCAGACGCTCTGGATGCTACGTCGTAACATCCATGATAAGCAACTTCCAAGATGCTCTGGATGCTACATTGTATCAACCGTGTGAAAGGCAAGTGACCCCGTGACCCCCTAACCCATGTCCCCAAGCCCCCCCTAGCCAATGTCCCCAAGTCCCCCCTAAATGCACCTTGTCCCCAGGTCAAACCAGAAAAGGTTGTCTGAGGTATTCTATGGAAAGGATTGCGAGGTAGGGGCAAAATGGGGCGAATGTGACCCTGGGGTAGGGGCGAATGTGACCCCCCTGCTGGTGGTGGTGGTGGTGGTGGTGTAGCAGCAGCAGCAGCAGTAGCAGGAGCAGGAGGAGTAGCAGTAGGAGTAGGAGTAGCAGTAGCAGCAGTAGTAGCAGTATTAGCAGTAGTAGTAGTAGTAGTAGTAGTAGTAGTAGTAGCAGAAGGAGCAGTAGCAGGAGCAGGAGTAGCAGCAGGAGTAGCAGTAGCAGCAGCAGCAGCAGCAGCAGTAGTAGTAGTAGTAGTAGCAGGAGTAGTAGTAGTAGTAGTAGTAGTAGTAGTAGTAGTAGTACTAGTAGTAGTAGTAGTAGTAGCAGTTGTTGTAGTAGTAGTAGGAGTAGTAGTCGTCGGAGGAGTTGGTGAAGGTATTTACCAGGCAAAATGATATGCACGATCTAGAATGATCACAAATATGTGAAAGCAACCAGAATGGGATATTACCAATTGATGATTACGGATCTCAGCAAACACGGGACTGACAAACGATCGTGGGTATGAACCAACAACGGGGATCATTTGTGTGCTTACACAAATTCTTCACATTCAATTTCCGCTCTTTGATGCTCTGTTGTTGTACTCATGCAGGTTTTGGGGTTCCCCCGATTCCGGACATCCCCACCTTTGAGCCTCCGTTGGTTAGCCTCAAGAAACTTTGCTCCGGTACGTTTATGAGGCACACACACACATATGCTGCATACTGAACTTTAGCCCCACGACAGCAACTTTCATTTGGTTTCAACTTTCATCCCCAAACCGATGCGTTTGTAGGGGATCTGTTGCCATTGAGAATCCATTTTATAACCAGTCATCGAATCATTCCAAGACAGCTTCTGCTGCCGGCGCGCTCATTTGTGGGTGGATTCAGGCACTCAGTCCAGAAGCTTTGCAAAAGCAGGTCGCTGATCTGCGTGTTGAATGTTGAAAAGACAGGGGTTGACACAGGATGTTCGACCTTTTTTATTGAACAAAGTGCTTTGGACACTACGTATCAAAATTTCATAGTGCTATGCCATAAGTTTACAAAAATTATAGGTATGACCGGTCTGCGCTGCACATTGATAGAGGTGAAAGCTGTCCTACCCGGCTTCGAGCCACATGCACTAGAGGTGCGTCATTCGTGGCTGTTCATTTCCACTCAAAATCAGACTCAAATTTGAAGACATTTAAAGCCATTTCCTTTCAGACATGAAATCCGAGACTTAGACGAGACATGTTTTTCAGAAAACGAAAGACATGCTGTGCAGGGACAGCCGAAGGAACCGCGTCCACCCGTCCCAGCTCAGGAGCTGAGCACATTTGCATGTCAAGTTCATGTCGAAATTGAGCACGAACTTACTGTAATTCATACATACTCCACTCTCACTGTATCTAGATCGATTCATTCTGCAATTTCATGCCCATGTGAATAGACTACCGTCGAGAAAGGCTCTTGTGCGGTTGGAATATAGCGATGTATGACAATCTGGTCGCAGATACTTTTTTGACCAGACGGGTAAAGATAGAAATCCCTGCGACAGGAAATGCCACCAAAAGAGGAGGAACCACAATCCAAAGAAGAGGCTCAGCCGGTCTTGAAGCAGGCACGCCAGGGGTGATTTCTTTTTATTGACGATTTTCGCTTATGCTTTTTGAATTCTACATCTTTGTCCTGTCTATTTTGTGCATTATTGTCCTTACTGGAGCACTATTCAGTTCATTTCCAGATCTTCTACTCTATTGATTCCAGATGTATTGATCCTCCCAGTTTTGCTACAGTTTGCTCTCACCTGAGCGTCAAGAGGGGGCTATTGTGCGGTTGCAAGCTGACACCCAGACGAGTGAAGATAGAAACCCCTGCGACAGGAAATGCCACCAAAAGAGGAGGAACCACAATCCAAAGAAGAGGCTCAGCCGGTCTTGAAGCAGGCACGCCAGGGGTGATTTCTTTTTATTGACGATTTTCGCTTATGCTTTTTGAATTCTACATCTTTGTCCTGTCTATTTTGTGCATTATTGTCCTTACTGGAGCACTATTCAGTTCATTTCCAGATCTTCTACTCTATTGATTCCAGATGTATTGATCCTCCCAGTTTTGCTACAGTTTGCTCTCACCTGAGCGTCAAGAGGGGGCTATTGTGCGGTTGCAAGCTGACACCCAGACGAGTGAAGATAGAAACCCCTGCAACAGGAAATGCCACCCAAAGAGGAACCACAATCCAAAGAAGAGGCTCAGCCGGTCTTGAAGCAGGCACGCCAGGGGTGATTTCTTTTTATTGACGATTTTCGCTTATGCTTTTTGAATTCTACATCTTTGTCCTGTCTATTTTGTGCATTATTGTCCTTACTGGAGCACTATTCAGTTCATTTCCAGATCTTCTACTCTATTGATTCCAGATGTATTGATCCTCCCAGTTTTGCTACAGTTTGCTCTCACCTGAGCGTCAAGAGGGGGCTATTGTGCGGTTGCAAGCTGACACCCAGACGAGTGAAGATAGAAACCCCTGCAACAGGAAATGCCACCCAAAGAGGAGGAACCACAATCCAAAGAAGAGGCTCAGCCGGTCTTGAAGCAGGCACGCCAGGGGTGATCTGTATGTCAGATTTGTTTAGATATGTTTTTCATTCATGTATCCGACTCTAGTTTATACATTTCTTAAGTTGCAGCTTTTGTTGCTTCCAGCTTTATTGGTGGGCAATGAACAGACAAGGAAACCGAGCTTTGGACACCTTGATGATGATGACATTCTGAACCCTCCAATGTTGAAGGGCTCTTGCATCAGCAAGTGTTGTGTGGAGGAACTGCAATCTAGAGCCACTCTTGACATGGTGCAAGGCTTTGTTCCAATCCTGAAAGAGCATGTAGTGGACCCATCAAGTGGATATCCAATTCATCCTCAACTGCTTGTAAAATTTTGTCAAAGACTAATTGGAAATCCACTTGACGGGTCGAACAGGGATTTTTTTTTTACTACTTTTATGCAGCATGGATAGAACAAGCGAGCTTCGATTCCCCAATTCCATGCATATCAGAACTGAACAGTTTATAAATCAACAGATGGGATGCAGAAAGGTTCTTATACTCTGTCTTCTCCACAACCTTTCCATGGTGATGAAGTCGGTATATAGAATATAGATGAATATAGTATATATATATATATATTGATCTCCAACTGTCGATTGGCTTCCAGGTTCCTGGGGAAAACAGCCAAGCCTCGGCATCTCGGTTCGAGCTGGTCCATTTTTCTGCTGATCCAGTCTAATTGTGATTGCTAATGACATCCCCCATGTATAGCTCACTATAAAGTGGACATCCTTTGCGCTTATAAAGTGGGTTTCCGGTCGCCACTTTATATACCGACAATGGGGGATAAAGCCGTGTTTTGCGCGAGAAACATGCCCTTGGACCTGGACCTGGATAGATGACTTTATAGCAACATTGGCTTTCCAGTTTATACCCGGCTGGTTCCCCACAAGGAAACGACTCAATATATGCGGCAATGCATTTTATAGACCGTTGGTTCCCTTCAAAGAATGGCCATAATATGTCACACCATCCACTTTATAGAAACATGTCTCCCCAATGATTTCGGGCCAATATCTTTCTGTTGGGGCTGTATACATGGCAAAGCACTTTATAGAGTGAAACTTGCCCTTTAAGAAGAAGAATTTGTGCTGCATCCAGGGCACTTTATAGAAAGAAAATTGCGGCAGAGCATTTTATAGAGTCATGAGATACATCACCCAAATCACTTTATAGAGCTGCCCAGGACCCCATTCACCCTGAGGACCCCTTTCAAGGGAAATCTTCTTCTCTATAAAGTGGCCAGTCCAGGAAAAACCCCTGAAAAAACAGAATCTATGTTGGACTGGCCACTTTATACCCCCTCCCCCAACAGAGAATGCCTCTATAAAGTGGCCAGTCCAGGTAAAACCCCTGAAAAAACAGAATCTATGTTGGACTGGCCACTTTATGCCAGTCCAGGTAAAACCCCTGAAAAAACACATTTTTACCTGGAATGGCCACTTTATACCCCCTCCCCCAACAGAGAATGCCTCTATAAAGTGGCCAGTCCAGGTAAAACACCTGAAAAAACACATTTTTCCTGGAATGGCCACTTTATACCCCCTCCCCCAACAGAGAATGCCTCTATAAAGTGGCCAGTCCAAGTAAAACCCCTGAAAAAACACATTTTTACCTGGAATGGCCACTTTATACCCCCTCCCCCAACAGAGAATGCCTCTATAAAGTGGCCAGTCCAAGTAAAACCCCTGAAAAAACACATTTTTACCTGGAATGGCCACTTTATACCCCCTCCCCCAACAGAGAATGCCTCTATAAAGTGGCCAGTCCAGGTAAAACCCCTGAAAAAACACATTTTTACCTGGAATGGCCACTTTATACCCCCTCCCCCAACAGGGAATGCCTCTATAAAGTGGCCAGTCCAGGTAAAACCCCTGAAAAAACACATTTTTACCTGGAATGGCCACTTTATACCCCAGCCAGTGGGCTCCAGGACTTCGACCCGGAAACGGAAGGGCTGACAACAAGGTAAAGGGGGAAAACTACAACGGAGAGGTACAACGGGAAGGCTACCACAAGAAAATGAGACATGTCACGTTTATATACGTTTATTGTTTTCAATGTGTCATATAGATTGGCAATGATTGGTATATTGAATATGTTGTAGATGTATTTTGGAACATATGTATACCTATGATTCACACATCAATATAAATATATATAAATCATAAACACATGCCAAACCAAAAACTTTTAGCTGAGTATTGTATTCCCAATCTGTTGGCAAATGTCCAGCCGATTCACCATGCGTGACCCAACAAGATTCAAACTATGGATTGTTTACTTTTGAAAAAAAAAACTGGGTGAATCTACGTATATCTATGACGACAATCTCCCAAAATCATCCTAAAAATCTATGGACACCTATGGACCAAAACCACGGCCACATGCCCATCCTCTATAAAATGGTTTGCAAGAAAGTTCAGCTCTACAAAGTGGCTTGATCACGTCATTTCTGGCAGCCCCACCCTCTGTATAAACTGGCCGGTCCATGCCCATCCTCTATAAAATTGTTTGCAAGAACCAGTAAAAAAATATTTTCGAAAGTAAACAATCCATAGTTTGAATCTTGTTGTGTCACGCATGGTGAATCGGCTGGACATTTGCCAACAGATTGGGAATACAATACTCAGCTAAAAGTTTTTGGTTTGGCATGTGTTTATGATTTATAATTTATCTATATATTTATATTGATGTGTGAATCATAGGTATACATATGTTCCAAAATACATCTACAACATATTCAATATACCAATCATCGCCAATCTATATGACACATTGAAAACAATAAACGTATATAAACGTGACATGTCTCATTTTCTTGTGGTAGCCTTCCCGTTGTACCTCTCCGTTGTAGTTTTCCCCCTTTACCTTGTTGTCAGCCCTTCCGTTTCCGGGTCAAAGTCCTGGAGCCCACTGGCTGGGGTATAAAGTGGCCATTCCAGGTAAAAATGTGTTTTTTCAGGGGTTTTACCTGGACTGGCCACTTTATAGAGGCATTCTCTGTTGGGGGAGGGGGTATAAAGTGGCCATTCCAGGTAAAAATATGTTTTTTCAGGGGTTTTACTTGGACTGGCCACTTTATAGAGGCATTCTCTGTTGGGGGAGGGGGTATAAATAGCCATTCCAGGTAAAAATGTGTTTTTTCAGGGGTTTTACCTGGACTGGCCACTTTATAGAGGCATTCTCTGTTGGGGGAGGGGGTATAAAGTGGCCAGTCCAACATAGATTCTGTTTTTTCAGGGGTTTTACCTGGACTGGCCACTTTATAGAGAAGAAGATTTCCCTTGAAAAATTCCTCAGGGTGAATGGGGTCCTGGGCGCGCCGCGCGCGCGCGCGCCAAAAAGGTGTCAAAATTGGAGCCATTTTGGCGCGCGCGCGCGCGCGCGGCGCGACCAGGACCCCCTTCACCCCAAGGACCCCTTTCAAAGGAAAGTGTGTTAGAGGCATTCTCTGTTGGGGGAGGGGGTATAAAGTGGCCAGTCCAACATAGATTTGGTTTTACCATAGATTCTGTTAACGACTTCGATATAGATATTTGTCTGGCTGTCGGTTTCGTTCGGTTTCGAAGTCATTCGAAGTCTTTTGGGTTCCCCATCGATGAGATCGATGATATTCCCCCAAGGTTTGAACGTGGCCCCTCAACTTTATCGATGCTGCCATCGTCGCGATTAAGAAAATCATCGCTACTACAACGATCGTTGTTTAGCCGGAAATCCACATTATAGTGCCACTGTTCTGCACAAGTATTACTATCTGGATGTTCGGCATCTCACTTTATAGTCATGGGACATGTTCACAAGTACCCTCAAAAACCTGCATCGAGTTTTATGTTTTTACGCGGCCAGGCGACTTTATACAAACGTTGGATTTTGACTTTATAGACAAAACATGTTGGCTTTCCACTTTATAGACTCCAGACATGTGGCCATTCCAGTTTATACCAGGCTATTCTCTATAAAGTCGGCCGCAAAGCATCTAGCGGGCTATACATGGGGGATCTAATGACATAATTGACATATAAAACATAATTGACATATAAAACATAACATAATATAACATCATACACAACATCATATAGTTCTATGTAACTGTAATAATGATACATAACACTTTTTAACAAATTACTGTTACCACTTATTACCATCCTTTTTTCGAGTTATGCGGTAGATAGGGCAGGTCAGCTCTGACCGTGGACTGAGGTGCAATCCAGGCAGTGCGGCTGTGTGAATGACGGGTTTCTATGTTTGTATAGCTTTCCACAAAAGGCATAGGATGGTTCAGAATGGTTCAGAATGGTTCGGAATGGTTCCAAGATGTTTTGAGTAGTGGCAAGTCCGTCACTTTTTGCTTCCTTGCTGCTTGATGTTTTCCATAGCTGCTACTGTCACTTGTGGGCACAAGGAGGCAATAGCAGTTGTATTCATTTCGGGCCCCAACAACACACTAAAAGATGCGAAAGCAAAGAAAGATACAGTAGTTGAGTTGTTCAAAGCATGGCCATGCGCATCAATCATGAAACATGTCGTTCGTCAATTCATTGGCCTCTCCACTAGAATCTGAATCTCTTACTTAGTTGATCTTAGTTGCAGCAACAAAAAATATAAGTCTGGGAAGGAAGATGTATTCAAGCGTGCACACACACACACCCACATCCAAGTGTTGTCTCGAGACCGTAGCGATGCATTTGAGACTCTGCCACTGCCCCGCAGTTATATGCTTTACCCCGTTTTTGTTCAGCTGAACTGTCGGCGACTAGCGCAATGACTGGAATTACTGCATCCACTTTTGTGCAGCCTGCTGATTTTGCAAAGGAGCTGCAGCAGTATCTTGGCGATAAATCAGGTGGACCGGTAAGGAATGTCATGAATCTAAGAGCGTCGCATCCTCTGGTCCTCGATCGATCATCCCAGAGGGTAAATCAATCCAAATCAAATGCTGTTTTCCCCAAGAGTACAAATTCCTTTTGATTCTTGCAAGAGTTCAGATCATTCAGCCCCAGCAGCAACATATCTTCAGAAACTTGGCAGATGTCTCCTTTCCCCTGGGCTCACCAGTTGCACGACGCACAGGAGAGTGACAATGTTCCACGCTGGCGATGAACTGTATTCTGGTGCCTGGCTATCGGACTTCCAAAAAACCGGACTGACTGCGTGGCACGTGTGCACTGAAAAGCTGCGGGTTGGCCCATTGACGAGTTGCGATGGTGAGCTGTTGCAGGCCTTTTGCGCCCAAACTTTGGCACGATTAGCGCGTGCCTTCGCTAGCCATTTCGATGTGAACTCACAAAGATCTGCCAGAGATACCTTGGAGGCTTTACTAGCAGTGCATGCCTATGGACAAACCTTGGTGTGGAAGCAACTAGCATTGGCATTGGCCTGTGCAGAGTGACCAATCTGAAATTGGCCAGCACGTTTACCTTTTCAATCCTTGTCACAATTTTCTCAGAAGCTTCACAATTCATGGTATTTTGATGGGGTCGGGCAAAAAAAAGTGCAAATCACCATGGTTCTTCTTGTTGCTTTTGCACCGTTCCCATGTGCACCACTTCTCAAAGCAAGGCTTTGGCTTGGTACTTGGGCGGCTGCTGCATCTCTGAACACCAGTCTTCCAGCTCCTCATCTAGATTTTCAGCTTTAAGTAGTTGTCTTTCGTAACAAACTAAAAAAACACGGTAGCATTCTTCCATGCCTTTTGCAAGTTCATACATTCCAATTAAAGGGCTCAAGGGCTAGCTGCGGACGACTCCCTCAACTAGCGAGCACCACGATGTTTTGAGGTTTTTCACATCTTTTCATTAAAACCCTCGATCTGCACAGCTCGGCCTTCCTCAAAAGGCCACAGTGAGACGAGAGCTGTTGGTGTTGCCTGCTGAGCTCCTTTTCGACTCCAAGGCGGGCAGAGGATCCACTACATCCACGGATGTCCACGGGGACAGGATCTCAACGATCATGATGATTTCATGAAGTTTTCTTATTATTTTACTACTATAGTACTATTTTATCCCCGTATCATATCCCACTTTGAGAATGTTTGCCCATCATGGCAGTTGCACCTGTTCTTGTTGATTTCTCAAACCAATGGGTCGATTTCGCTCTTTCTTAGTGCTCCCATTGACAGGGTGCCCTTGGTGCCCTATCAGGCCTTACCCTTGACCGACAAGGCTGCGCGGCAGCAGGTGGCTGCATCGCTGTTTAGCTCGTGCGATGGGGTCTTCGCCTTTCTGTTGGAAGCACAATCAGATGCAGAGCAGAGCTTTCGGATCCCTGGTCTTGCAGAAGGCATTTGCTAATATGTGGTTGTTTAGTTTTTTATATTTTATATATATATTTATATATATATATATTTTTATATATTTTTATATATTATATATATATTTTTAAATATATTTTATATATTTCATATATTTCATATATTTTATATATTTTATATATTTTATATATTATATATATATTTTATATTGTTTTATGTGTGTTTTATCAATTTTAATATGTGTTTCTTGATCGCCTTGTGCAGAAGGCAGTTCGCACGAAGGGACCAGGTCAATCTCAAGGGGTTCACTTTAGGCAATTAGGCAATGTGTGTGACTGCTTCGAACACACTTGTGATATCTTGGGATATAGTAACTTACGTAGCTTCTTTCTTCATTCAATGCATTTCAATGCTCTCAAATTTTCTACAGTATTGAGTATTCAGTATTCATTTCAACGTACCGGTACCAGATTTTCGTCTCATTAGGCAGCAAAAACTTGGCAGCAATTGGATATGCAAGATGTTGCACCCTTGGCGCAGCATAGGATACTGAGTGCTTGGTTGCGAGCTGTGCGCAAGGCGCAAATCTGGCTGCCGACCTGTGACGCTGCGCAGCCTCTCAGGCACGAGCATTGAATGCATTGAATGCATTGAATGCATTGAATGCATTGAATGCATTGAATGCATTGAATGCATTGAATGCATTGAATGGCATGCCATATTCCCCTCTAGTTGCAGAGCTTGACGACAACAAGGACTTGTGCTTATGCAGACTTATGCATGTCTGATCCGGCACGGATAAGTCTTGAATGTGAAAGCGACGACGAGCGCATCTCAATTGATCTAGACCAACTAGACCTGATATGACGTCGAGTTTAAGCTCAGTCTCAGAACCTTGCTACAACCGACTCCAGAACCCCGTTCGCCCCATTTCGCAGGCACCTGGCCGGGCACTTGTGCACCATTTTGGCTGCAGCAGAAAGCGCTCCGGCACAGGCGTCGGAGCTCGCGCAACAGCTGGCAAAGTGGAACAGCGCACCACAAGATCCTTGGTGGAACATGTGGAACATGTGGAACTTTGCAAAGTCTGGCGGAACAGTACTTCACGGTAAACTTTTGACATTGGACATTTTTAGATCAGGTGATTTACTTTTGAACTGTCAGGTACTTTAGTTTTTGATGGTTTGAAATCAATCCAACGATCCCTCTTTTCATTGTGTATTAATAAACATGAGAGCTTGAGTTGATGAGGTGACTTCATGCACGGAAAAGGTGGCTTAAACATGCTTAAAATGTGAATCCCTCAAGTTGAAACGGTTTAATTTCAAGGATTGCAAGATGGCCGAAGTCTCACTCAGAAATCACTGCTTTTGTCCCAAACGCTTTCTGAAACCAGACTTTGTGTGCGATGTTTCTGATGCCCAGGAAGTTGCGACGATTCTGAAACCCTTACTGCAGCTGATCATGAAGGACAGTGACTTGTTTTCTTTGGAACTGAATCACATGGGTATCATTGGTCAAGAAAATAAGCAGGAGTTACGCTTCAAATAAAATTGATGATTTTCCGTGAGATGGGGATAGACTCCGGCAACATGCCCATGAAAACGAATGCTCAATCTGGTTGCAGCCACTTCATGCCACTTCTAGATTCCAGTGGCTGGTTTGAAATCTAATTGGAACATCATTTTGCTAAGATCTTCGCTGAGTGCCATTAGCACCACTGGGGACTTCTGGAGTTCCAGCCTTTGCTTCTCAAAATGGCTTGGACAAAAGTACCGTACTGCAGCTTTCAGATCGATACGCTATATCCGCCATATAAATGCACAATTTGCACAAGAATATGTGCTGTTACCTTGTGGCTCGGATTGGCTCTTGCAGATCTTCGCGATTTCTAAGCTCTGCGTAAAATCCAGGCGCCGCTCTGATCACTTGAACATTTTGCGTTTCGAATCCAGTTTATTGCAAAACTCCCACAACATGACCTATCTTTCTCAGTCCTGGCTTCAATAGGTTACCTGTCCATACCTGTCCTACATGTCCGGTTTAGAGTGGGTTTTGCAAGTGTTCACAAGATAAGTTGCGCTTCTAGGAATCGGTTTGACTGGGTTGATGTTGAAGGACATTTCTTGCCTGAACGCTGTACGGAAGCATCAGCCACCTCTTGTTTCTCCTTCAGTGTGCCCCCAACAAGGGGAGACCGGAAGACAGGACAGAGGTACATTTCCAAAAAACTAAAGGTACCCAAAAAACAACAAGTGGATTTCTATGATTGGTGTACTGGTGTACTGTTTGCTTTTGGACAAAGTTACATGCTTCGGACCTCGGTGCTTAGGTGACCTCAGCATGGAGATTGTGTCAGAAGATTCTCCGGCGTGGATGTTGTCGCTACTGCAAGTCCTAGCAGAAGATCTCTGGCCCAGAGCTGCCGTGGGCGAAGTCGATCTAGACTCCGAACTCATCGCAAAGCAAGCATTTAAATTGTTGGATACATCATCCGCCACTTGCTCCAGCCAATTAGCAATTGGCTTTGGATGTAGTTTTTCCTTAGAGCAGATTCCCCTCTAATCCCGGGTTTTGCGTTCGTCATTTTTTCACAAAGACGGTCTTGATATGTCTTGATTGTAACCATTTGAAATCCCTTCTTTCGCCAAATTTTGTCCCCACTCTTCACTGATGCGGTCCACTTTTCGAGCCTTTTCCGTCAGGTGCCGTGGCTCAATGCAGACGAGGTGGAGGTGGAGGCATCCATTCAGGCGAGCCCCACCAGCTGTGAACGATGGACTATACATGACTATACAGTAATAGTAGATCTATGTAGATCTATGTAGTAGAATATAATATAGTATACAGTATAACAATAATATATAATAATATAATATTTAGTTCAACAACTCCTGGATATGTAGCCGAGGCTCCCATTATGAAACATGAATCAAATGACCGATCTCAGAAACTAGAAGGTCAATGCCGCAATCTAGTCAATGCCGATGTCGATTTTGCAAAGACGCCAGGTTTGGCACAGCTTCGCAGAGACTCTCCATGCAGCTCTCCGAGCATCCGACGAGTCCGCCTTCGAATCCTCGCGGCGTTCACCAATGTTTGCACATCCTGAGAAGCGAAGCCGAAGAAGTCAAGATCGATGGCACCTCACAGGCCCACAGTGGCCCACAAAAAAGGTTTCGGTTTTGGAAAGTTTGGAAATTTGGTGGTGCCCCCTGTTTAGGGACAATTGGGGACGAAGGGTTCGTGAAATACTTGTACATTGAAATATCGTGAGATTCATGAACCTCATGGCAATTTGTTTCTTGAGATTGTAGAGAGATCTGTGAAATTGTCATGCCGACTAGGTATCTGTTTACCATGATGACCGTTGCAAGCTTGATACTCTCAGAATGGACAATGGATTTGGCAGCCATGGTTCAATTGAGAGTTTTTGCTGTATTTTGTTAAGATTATGCAGAAGATCATCGTTCAACCCCACCCTTGGGCCGTTTTGGGATCTTAGTTCGGTGTTGAGAAACTACAACACCAAGCCTCTGTGAATTTTTCACTTATGCATCCGCCCCTTTAGGCGAACGCCTCAGGGAGGCAACCATGGTGAACCTACTATTTCAGCTATTGGTTCAGAAGCTGCTTGCCCAAGAGTTTAGCACAGTTTAGCCCACCTGCCCTGAAGTTCATATTAGAAGGATTGGGCAAGAAAGACAAGACATTGGGAGTGTGTTGCCCTACATGTAACATGAGTCACAAGAGTGTTTGTTTTTTTGTCGCAACCTGTGGCTAAGGTTGCTGGATTGCATGAGGCTTCCAGAAATCCCAGAAGATGAAGAGGCACTTGAACTCCTCCAACATGCAAGACCCCTTGCAGCACGATTTGCTTTTCCACACTTGAAATTCAAGATATTTCAAGATGTTCATTTTGTGTGGAATCCTTTGTTGGGGAATCATGTGCTGAGAGATGTCTGCGGCCAATCACAGACCTGAATTTTCTGCATTGTTGATCGACATATAAGACATATAGACTAATAGAATCTAATAGACAATCATCAATGACAATCAGATTGATGGATTCTAACTGCACTGTCATATTTCCAGCCCCCTAAGCTGTTCACCTTACTATGCAACTCCTGAGCACTTCACCACCCCATATAAGCAATGTTGTTTCCGTTATGTGGCACCTTCAAACCCTGCTATTCAAGAGTCGTGCGGGTATACGTTAGAATCAGATTTACCCGTCTGGTTACTGGCCTTTGGTGAGCAATTGGAGCAGACTAGTGTTCGACCGCCTCACTGTCATTCTCAATAGAGGTCAACACTTGACATTCCGACCAATCACAGGTTCCAAGAAGTTCTGGAGTTTGGAAACTTCCTGCAACAAAGAATAAGAAACACACTTGTCCTACGAGGAAGGATTTCAAGATATTTCAATGCACCGACACCACCCAAGGACAATCGGTAGAAGCTGCTTTGCGACCGTGGGCGGCATTGCTCACCAACGCAGATACCTGGATAGCAGAGCTTTGGAATCCTCTGCAGGAAGTACAGAACACGTTAGCTGCCATGGGCGAAAATGATGAAGGCTTCATGTCTGAAGCTTGGCTGCAAGGAGAGGGTTTGGCCATGGCCTGCCTGTTCAACTTTGAAGGTTCGGCGATCCGTCAAGGTTTGTTCTTGCTCACCTCGGCATGCAAGAGCAAAGATGAGCAAAGTGCTTGTTGCTGTGTTGGTTCTGCCATGTTCTGCCAAGGTGGAGGTGTCCAGAGACGTGGAAACCGTGATTTGGTTTTTCGGTGCCTTCTGCAGCTGTTTGCCAAAGGATCAGGTTGCTGCGGCTGAAGCCGCGTCTCATGCTGCCCCTGGGCTACAACTTGGCAGGGAAACACTTGGCATGGTATCGATCGGAATGATTGGAATAAGTCGAAATAAGACCTTTGTACGCCAAGTCAGGTGGAATATATAAATCGGTTGAACTGTGCTGTGCTCCAGCTCGGTAAATACAAATGGGAGCCGCTGGAAGCCGACAAAAAGAGAGACGAATGGCAGCCGAAGAGAAGAGAGAAAAAGAAACACTAGAACAGAATGAAGAAAACGAAAAAACAACTCGTCTTTGTTGCGATATACCCAGGTTTCAGCCCTGATTCCGCAAATTCACCAGCTGGATGCGGCCCTTCCGCCCTGGAAAGCTCTATTGTGGTCTTCAGCATCCTGCAGTTGATTTAGTTTGTTTTTTTTTTATGTGTATTCGTATATTATATGTTTGTAGTATTCAGTATCATAGTATTATTCGTATGTTCAGTATCATAGTATTCTGTACGATTCTTGTTCGGTATCCGTAGATGTTTGTCATAACAATGATTGAATTGTTGAATTGTGCTGACCACTCGTATGTTGTCAGCGTGCGATCTCTTCTTCATTTGTTGAGGTAAGTTTAGGCTGCTAGCGCTGAGGTGTGTAGATTTTCGTCTGCGGTGAATTCCAAGCTGCCTGCTGGAAGCGAACCAATTCTCCTGGATTGGATGCTCCTTTGCGAAATTTAGTTCCAAAACCATTGAATTCCATGACAATGGATTCTTGTTGCAACTGGGTTACTTATTATATTCCATTCTTTGATTGTGATGATCGGTTCTTATTGCTATGATTTTGGCTAAAGCACGACCAATCATCAATTAGGGCTATTGAAACTGACCGTTTCTTCTTATTGAACTTCAACGGGTCGGGACCTTTACATGGTCTGGGTGAATCTCAACATGGCGATACTATGCGACACTAATTCATCATGGGGGATGGACATTCATCAATTACATAACAGGATTAGTAGATATTGCTGTAGTACATGTGTATATACCAAGATATATTAATTATATAACATTATATATATGTATATATCAATTATCAATTGACATTAGTGGATACTAATAGAAATTAGTAGATATTATACAATAGATAGTAACAGATGTTAACGGATATTGATATAATAGATATTAATGGATCATAATATATGCAATGCATGTAATGTAATGTAATGTAATGTATATAATGTAATGTAATGTAATGTAATGTAATGTAATATATGTAATGCAATGTAATGTAATGTAATGTAGTGTAATGTAATGTAATGTAATGTATGTATGTATGTATTTATACATTGTGGATATTAATATATATATATACAGTATATATATATATTAATAGGTATTAATGTATATACAGTATACATACATACATACATACATACATACATACATACATACATACATACATACATACATACATACATACATACATACATACATACATACATACATACATACATACATACATACATACATACATACATACATACATACATACATACATACATGACATACATACATGACATACATACATGACATACATACATACATACATACATACATACATACATACATACATACATACATACATACATACATACATACATACATACATACATACATACATACATACATACATACATACATACATACATACATACATACATACATACATACATACATATTATTAGATGTTATATATATATATATATGGATATCATAAGATGTTAGTAGATATGAATATACGTAAACAACTGTTAATAGATATTAGCACATGATAGTACATATGCATATATGCTAGTGGATATCAGTAGTTGTGAATAGATGTGTATATATGTATATATACATATGTATTATAATAGATCTTAATAGATGCAAAACATGTTTGTATATACATGATAATATATGTCATATAATATATCTTAAAAGATGACAGTATATTCACCCCGCTTCGCGTGGGGTGGCCGCCCACACCGCAGGTTTATTTCGGTCCGTGAGAGGGGCTAAGGGTGGTTTTCCCCCGTGGGGGCTCCCCAAGCTAAGACTTTTCACTTCCCCCCCCGTGGGGGCTCCCCAAGCTAGGGAATTTTCACTTTTCCCCCCCGTGGGGGCTCCCCAAGCTAGGGAATTTTCACTTTTCCCCCCCGTGGGGGCTCCCCAAGCTAGGGAATTTTCACTTTTCCCCCCCCGTGGGGGCTCCCCAAGCTAGGGAATTTTCACTTTTCCCCCCCGTGGGGGCTCCCCAAGCTAGGGAATTTTCACTTTTCCCCCCGTGGGGGCTTCCCAAGCTAGGGAATTTTCACTTTTCCCCGCCGTGACAGCTTCCCAAGCTATGGAATTTTCACTTTTCCCTCCCTTGGAGGCTCTCCAAGCTGCGGAATTTCAAATAGCTAGACAACGACGCCTAGATAGTCCCCCAAATCCCGCGTTCTTTGCATGTGTTTCCATGTTTTTGCAATGGTTTCCTTCAAACCACGGTACTTTACACTTTTGTCGCCATAAAACCGGTCGAAAACAGCATGTTCGACAATGCTTCCAATTCCCTTATCTCCCCAACCGTTGAAAATACCGCTATTTACAGTGTTTTCTTCAATTTTTCCATGTTCCAATGCCGGTAGCCAACTCCAACATATATATATATATATATAATCCTTCCAAAACATTGTTTTTGACAGTGTTTTTCCAATGTTTCCAGTCAAACAAACGGTAATTTACACGTTTTTTGCCATAAAGGCAGTAAATCCTTCCAAAACATTGCTTTTGACAGTGTTTTTGTAATGTTTCCAGTCAAGCATACGGTAATTTACAAGTTTTTTGCTATAACGTCAGTCCAAAACACTTGTTTTTGCAGTGTTTTCAATGCTCTGGCATCCAAAAACCCTGCAAAATCTTGCTATGTACAATGTTTTTTTCATTTTTGGCCGTTTTTCCATTGCCGGAAAGCTACCAAAATGACCCAAAATTCCATTTCAATACCCTCTTGCGCTCAGACACCCAAAAATCCTCGAAAAATGTCGAAAACCACCCCGTATTCTGGTCTCGGTGCGAAACCGTTTTTGGCCCCCCCCCCCCCAGCTAAAGCTGATATAGCGACTGCTATATTAACAAATGTCATTGAGCATTTAGTGTTGCTGTTTTGCCCCCCAATAAGCACGCCTTCACCGCCAAAGCGGTGTGGGCGGATTTTAATGAATATACATTACTATATATAGATGTTGATGGATGTTACTAGATGTTACTAGATGCTGAGATGCTGATCGGTATTTGATAGATGGTCATAGATGTAAATAAATGTTGATAGATATTACTAGAAATTAACAGATATAAGTATATATTTTTACATATATTCATAGATATTAATAGATATTCATTGCCATGAATAGCTGTTATAGATTATAAGGACCTCCATGAGGAAACCCAATGAGCCGTGTTCATCCGCAAGGTTTCCGTATTGCCAGTACATCGCACAGATTAGTGCAAACAAATCAAAAGAGCTGGTGCGGCACCTTTTCTCCCCAGCGGTTTCAGTACAGGTTGTGCAGACCGCCCACGGATGCCGAAGCTCCAACGATGCTGGAAATCACAGAACTGCCCTATGCGAAAGCCATAGAGGCACAACGGGCTCCGGGGGTTGGGTTTTTGTGGCTGTCGCTCTTCCATTGCATTCATCAGCAAAATCGAAAAGCGGGCCGATTAGCTCGATGTGTGCCAACCAGTACAGTAACCATTTGTTTTCTTTTGGGGTTTGCCGCGTTAACCCAACTTTTCAAATGCGTGCTTCCTTATTGCATCTGATTGCATCTTATATATCTTATTGCATCTTGTTGCATCTTGTTGCATCTTATTGCATCATGGCGGAAGTTGAAGTTGGGTTGTTTTGCCGTGTTGAGTCTCAAATTATTGCTCACTGCGTGAGGCAGCTTGCCAGCGCCTGCCCCACGTGGCCACAGCCAGTGCCCCAGTGGGCACGGCCACCAATACCAACATCGGGGAGAAACTTTTGCTGCTGGCATTTGGCACATGGGATCCCTCAGTCAAGTTGGAAGAGCGACAGATGGAGGCACCAGCCTGGGAGGTAGGGATTTTGAAGATTTGTTGCTTGATTTGATTTGATTCATCCAACTTGATCCCTCATTTCAGTAGTCCAGTGGCTGATGCCTGTGGAGCCGCAGCTCCACAAAACTTGGGATGTTGACACCCTAAGGCTATCCACCAAAACCAAACAGTCGGTCAAAGCAACCGCAGAAAATAGAGACACTCCCTGTGGTAGGTGACTATTGATTGATGCGAGATTGTTGGCCAGTTTTCTGTAAGACCAAACCAATGTTAATGTAGTTCAAGACATTGAGGGCCAGAGAACTTTGGAGTCTGCCTTGCTATTCGGGCGGAAGCTGGTCTGGCAGGCCAAAACTCACTACCTTTCAGCTTTGAGATCTGCAATGGCTCTTTCCCCAGAACTGCTTTGCCAAAGTCTCGTGAGCAATGTCCTACCAAAGCTCTCCATGGCGTCGTCGATGGAAGTCTAGCTCTCAGTTCTGGAGCATGTCTGGCTGTTTGGTCAGTGGGGCTCATTCTACGATGCCTTAGAATTGGCAGGACATGGACATTTCAGCTACTTTGCTCCAAGCTTGCCATGGATATACCTGCTCATATCATCTTATACTAGTATCTAGAAAATCACATCTAATTTCGAAGTATCTGAATATCGAATATCTAAAATCTACAACCAAGACTCCAAAATCTAATGTCTAATGCTAATACTGATACTAATGCTAATACAAAAACTAATACCAAGCCTACTACCAATACGAATACTCATTTATATATACTGTATAGGATTATATAGGTACATCTATACTTATATCTGGATATATGATCTAAAGATCTAGATCTATATAGTCTATATATTGTATCTATGTCTAGATTATCTGTATCACTCTCGCTTGCTCATTCTTTCTCTCTGTCTCTCTCTCTCTCTCATTTAGTATGATCAGGAAGAACATGAAAGAATGCATGACATGACATGAATGAATGAATGAATGAATGAATGGATGAATGAATGAATGAATGTATGTATGACATGACATCATGACACGATATGACATGACATGTCATGAAATAATGAATGAATGATGATGAATGAATGAATGAATGAATGAATGAATGAATGAATGAATGAATGAATGAATGAATGAATGAATGAATGAATGAATGAATGAATGAATGAATGAATGAATGAATGAATGAATGAATGAATGAATGAATGAATGAATGAATGAATGAATGAATGAATGAATGAATGGATGATGGATGGAATGAATGAATGGATGGATGGATGATGACTGAATGAATGAATGAATGAAATGAATGAATGAATGAATGAATGAATGAATGAATGAATGAATGAATGATTGAATGAATGAATGAATGAATGAACTGAATGAACTGAATGAACTGAATGAACTGAATGAACTGAATGAACATGAATGAACATGAATGAATGAATGAATGAATGAATGCATGGTTGAATGAATGAATGAATGGATGGATGGATGCATGAATGAATGAATGAATGGAATGAATGAATGAATGAATGAATGAATGAATGAAATGAAATGAAATGAAATGACATGAAACGAAACGAAACGAAATGAAATGAAATGAAATGATTGAATGAATGAATGAATGAGTGAGTGCGTGAATGAATGAATGAAAAAAATCTGAATTCAATAAATGAAAGAATGAATAATAAAGGAATGAATGAATGAAATAATGAATGAAATGAAATGAAGTGAAATGAAATGAAATCAAGTGAAGTGAAATGAAATGACATGAAATGTACATGAATGAAATGAATGAAACGAGTGCATGGATGCAAAATGCAAGCATGCCATGAATGAGTAAATGAGTGATTGAATGAAGGAATGAATGCATGCATGCAAGCATGTCATGAATGGGTGAATGAGTGAATAACTGAATGAATGAATGAATGAGTGAATGAATGAAAGAATGAATAAAGGAATGAATGAATGAAATAATGAATGAATGAAATGACATGAAATGAAATGAAGTGAAATGAAATGACATGACATGAAATGACATGAAATGAAATGCATGAAATGAATGAAATGAATGAAATGAAAGAAAAGAAATGAAATGAAATGAATGAATGAATGAATGAAATGAATGAATGAATGAATGAAATGAAATAATGAATGAATGAATGAATGAATGAATGAATGAATGAATGGATGAATGAATGAATGAATGAATGAATGAAATGAATGAATGAATGAATGAATGAAATGAATGAATGAATGAATGAATGAATGAATGAAATGAATGAATGGATGGATGGATGAATGAATCAATGAATGAATGGTTTGTGTTTATATACACATGATACACATCATCACATATGTGTATATATACCTTGTGCCGCTTGGTCACTTGTTTTGAGGAAAGGACCATATTTCGTACATGGTTCATATATGAATGCCAAAATACGCCCCTTTGTTAAAAATACGGTTTTTTGGATTTTGCAGGATTTTGGGGGTTGCTCCTTCTCCACTCACCCTGCCCATTTTCCTTGCCTTTTCTTTGTCCAGCCCACTTCAAACTCTATTGCCAAGAGTCCAGGGCCCGAGCAGATGCAACACGGATGGGGTGTCACTCATAAAAATCCAAATGCTTCTCTTCTGAACTGATTCAGTTGAAAAAAAATCTTACATCACAAGTCCCCGTATGCATCAAGACCCCGCAAATCATGGTCTGATTTGTAAAATTCATCCTGATAAATGATCAGTGCTCTGCAAAGCACATTCCAATGAAGACATTTGATGTTGACTCGTCTACTTAATCTGGATGGACGACCTATGAAGTCCTCCTGGACCTGGTTGGTGAACACTATGGTGTTCACCACCCAGGCCCCTTTCTTGCTTTCAGTCATCAAACGTTTTGCCTCATGTGAAATCATATGCCCTTTAGGCAACATTGCAAAACGCCGCAGCCTGAGCTGCAATGTCAAACGGGCACAAACAGTGTACTTGGCCAAAAAGAAGTAAAGGAAGCCGCTCAGCCTCATCGCGTCAGCAGCCCTAATCCAAAAGCCAGCTTGGTACATGAAAGTGATCGCAATGTTGATCGCCTTGGTCGCACCTGCCTTGGTATGCACACTGAATGATAAGCATGTACACGAATCCACCCCACACCCCTTAGAGATCTTAGAGGCAGCAAAAAAAACAAATGCCAATATACTTGAAACTTTGAATCGAGTGACAATGGCATGCAAGAGCGGATGTGACTCCTCAGTCACCTTTCCTCTAATGTGCTTTTCACAGAAAAAATCTAGGAAAAGTGAAAGTTCCGTAGAGACTAAAGCCTTGGACCACCGTCCGACTGGTGCAGCTGTGCTGGCAGGGAATGACATGCTGTCACGAGAAATTTCAGCCAAGAATGGTGTAACATTCCGATCACGATGGAACTTCACATACATCTCCGTCAAAAACTCAAACCGCTTTTCAACAGATCCTCTAGGTAAGATCTCCAAGTCGGATTCTACGATCGCCACCAGTGCAGAAGCTAAAAAATGTTTTGACATCCCTAAATGCCAGTTGTGCCAAAAGTCACTCTTGAAGAAATCCATTTGGTCAGTAGGACTCAATGGCAAGCCCTCAAAAATCTTTGGAGGACAGTCAGGAGCCCATGGCACTTCCATGTAGATGGTCGCCGTCCAAGCAGCATCTGGTCGGAAATCTTCATAGGGAAAACTTGGGTTGCCTTCCCTTCCACCAAGGCACAGGTGGCAACATCCTTCACTGGGTTTTCTAGATGAGGACTGTCGTGGGACATGAGACCAACATCGATGGAACCCGCCCATTTTTTGAAGCATTGGCAAATCAGCTTTGAAACCCATGTGGGCTAAGTAAACACGATCCCGCCCATTGGCTGCAAGCACACCCTCAAACAAGAGCTTCTTCACATCTTCAGCATAGATGCTGGTCAATTCGTCCAAGATATTCGGATACTGTGTGTAAACAGTCTTGAGAACCGTGGTGAAAATAAACTGGGTCGTCCAAGTCTTTCCCATGAAATTTGCACCCATAGCATTTTCATGCAATGGCAGCCTGTGGCGATTGGAATCAACATGCATCCTCGTCCCCCTCCCAATGCAACCAGCACTTGAAAGAATCCAAATGCCAAGGTGTTTGTAGCTTCGCCCATCATCGGCATGGGAGAAGAAGGGAACAAGGTTTTCAAAAGGAATCCCATGACGTTCAGCATGACCGAAGTACCCATGGTCAGGATACAAAACACGAAATCTAGCCCACCACTCCTTCAACACCAATCTCATCTTTGCAAATGTAGGTACACCAACGAGAAGTTTGGGAAGTCGGCCACAATCTAATAGGTACTTCACCCATGAAGACAGCAAGATGTACGGAATGGTGAACCCTGGTCTCACTGTGAACTTGCCCACTGGCACTGTACATTCAAATCCTTCTTCTTTCAACAATTTGTGGACTCCTTTTTCAGCATCTTTCAAGCGAATAGCTGCTAACTTTCTCATTCCCAAAGTGGCACGTGGGTTGTTTCGGACCTCTGCCTGCGCCAGCTCGACGATGTGTTTGGAAGGGGCCTCGGCCGACAGAAAAACCAATGGCTGGAACTTGTGAAATGAGAGGAGAAAGGGAATGAAAGTGGGTTGACCTACTTCTAAAACTTTTCACATGAAACAAATCCCTGAAAGCAATAAGAGTCTGTAAAATGGATGGAAACTCAGTCATTGCAGTGAGCACGCAAGTGCATGCACCATTTTTCTCAAAGGCCAGCAACACAGTCACCCCACCCAACGGTGTTGGTCTGCTCGGGCTCCTACTATGTAAGCATAGTACGGTCCTGGAGGAACATCCTCTCGATTTAGATACCCCTCTCCACCACTTCCCTTTTTGTTTCTGCACCCCACATGGAGGCAGTACTGGCAAATCAGAGCAGCTTCGAGCATATGAATCAAATCAATGCTTGTAGATGTAGCTAAAAGCCACATCTCTGTATACCCTTTTTCATGGTAACTTTGGTATCTCAGCAACGGAATGTGGGTGACCCCAATTTTGAAAACACAAAGTCGGATTCCAATTTTGCTTCTGAAGCAATCCACTTTGTGGGTGCAGTGGGCCAAAAGTTTTCCACATGTTATCTTAGATGCGCCAGTCCGCACGCAATGGCTCAGGAGGCCAAAAGGCCGTACAGTCTCCCAGTCAAAGGTTGAAGCATCAAAGTCATCGGCAAGCTTAGCCAAATCCTTTGTGGACAAAAGGGTTGTTACCAAAAGTCTTTGGGTAAAACATTTAAATGAGGTTTGTTCACAAAAGGGTTTCAAGTCTTACTACTGTATTTTTGCAGTATGCAAGATCCCCAAAACTGATGATATATATAAGGATATATGATATAAGAAACCAAAGGAGGGACTCACTTCGTTACATGGATTGCCATGCGCCAAGCGGCCATCTTGGACGATCTG